ATTTGTGTGGGAGATAAAAACATGAGTCTAAGTAAAATGCTCAGTCTCTTTGGCATGCCTGCATTTTGACTAGGACTCCTGGGGATTCTGTGGGATGAAGATCAACCTCTTTTCCAGGTACTGTATGACCCCTAATGATACCATTTTTCTTTTAGCCTTTTGGCAACTTCACTTTTAGGCTATAAGCATTTCAGTTATAGGGCTGCCTGGGCATTTCTGCATTTTTGGGCATGGCATGGCTTCAGTTTTGACAGGAGATTTCAACCATTGCCACAGTCCAAATGCACAATGGAAAAAAACAAAGAAGAAATATGTCTGGGAGCTAACCTGCTTGCAAGTGCCCCTTATGTGAAAGGTGATGATGCTTTGTGAGCACTGTGTCTCAGCCATCATTTATACAGCAGAGGAAGAAAAAAGTATAAATGAAATGGGAGACAAAGCTCACTTGCTTCTGTGGCCAGTCCACAGTGGCTGCATGAGGGGCCAGTGGTGTACACCAAGGATTTCATCGTGAGCAGTCAGAGAAGAGGCACCTGCTCTGCAACAGGCAAATGCTTCCCTGCACAGAAGCAGGATGATTTCCCTTCAAGCCGGGGCGGCTTGCCAGCAGCCTCGAATGTAATCCTCATGGTATTACTTCCACAGATGGGCACCACCGCCGAGGCAGGTAATCTTTAAATGTAGCTGCAAATTGCCTGCTCTAATGCTAACAAACCCTAATGGTGAGGAAGGGAAGGCAGGTAGCAGCACTGACAGAGCATAATATAATGTGATAGCTGGTATAAATGTGACTCATTCTAGCCAGAGGCTTTAGTATAGGAAGTTGGATAAAAGATATATAAACAAATGGGATTTTTTTTTTCCTTCCCAGCGAAGGTCACCGCCAGGAATAGCATGGGAAATAATTAATGGAGGAAGAAATGTTCCCCTTCGAATCAGAAGTATTGTCTTGCTCCGCAGTTTTGTTCCCTGACTTGGGCTCCCGTAACAAACACCGGCAAGCACACGAGGCCTTTCTCCCTGGTGCTGCTGACAGACATCCCGCCCGGCTGGCAGCCAACGGGGGACCTGCTCACGGCTGTGCTGCTGTCAAGCCAGGCAATCGAGGTGCTGCTGCTCCCTGGGCACTGCTCTGTGTTCTTCCAGGTGGTGGTGGCAAGGAGGAGCTCTGGTGGTACAGCCTGACATCTCCTGCACGGGACACTGTCCCTTCTGCCAGGAAGGGCCAGGCACTTTTCCCTTCTTGACTCCATTTGGCTGCTCAGTCCCTGTACACTCTGGGCTATCCATGCACAAACCAGCTGCTCAGCCCCCGAATGCTCCCCAGGACCTGCAGGAGCCTGAGGGCAGCTCAGTGGGTTTCCAGAGAGGGGGCACTGCAGAGGCCCCCACGTACCTTGGAGCTCCCATAGAGCACAGGAAAAACCTATTACAGGAAGGCTGCTAATAGCAGAGGTAAGCTCTTACCCGCATTTTCCACTTGTGTTATGGACTCTGGAGAATCAGTTCATTTCGGCCAGATTCCCAAAATGCTTTTTGGTGTTTATCCAAAACAAGGCTGCATTGAGTTTTCCTACCCCTAAACTGGCTAACGTTATGAAAGGAATGACCTCAGTTGCACAGATGCTCCTCCACCTATTCCTGTGACTAGAGAGGGGCTAGGACACAACCCCAGGCCAGCTCCCCTTTTCTCCCCAAAAAGGAGCCATTTGAGGATGTTGGAGCTCAGTCCAGATCTGACTTTCACAGCTGATCCCAGAGAGTAAAATCCATATGCAGAAAGGTTAGGGCAGTTCAGAAGAGTGGCTGTACATAAATGCTGAGATCCTGGCTGGTGGCCTTCATAACACCATTCAGTTTGGGTATTTAGGGAACAAAGATCAATCCCATACAGGTGATCTGTCACTGGCATGTTTTAATGTTGACTGGAAGCTTGGCCCTTTTGTTCTGCTTGCTTTCTCACTTTCCAAGGCATGTGTGTTGCTCTTCTAGCCATCTCCTTATGGTCACGAGATGTGGGGTCACACATGGTCTTACCTAAGGTCTTCACAGCTGTTGCTCCTTGAAATGGCTGTGAGGGATGCTGAGTTGGGTGGGATGACCTGTTGTTCTTGGAGTTATTTCCGTATAGTATTTCTGTCCAGAAAGACCTTAAGGCAGGGGTATCTTTTGGATGCTTCTAGTCTTGTCAAACTCAAATGTTAGGACTCTTTGTGAACATGGAGTTTGTGAGCTGTTTAACCACAACTTTTATTCCCTTTTTGGTGAAAAATTGAATTATTTAATTCAAGCTTCTTCTTCCTTTTTTTTTTTTTTTCTTTTTTTTAAACTCCATTTTAATAAGGACAGACTGTGTCTGTGTTAGCAGTTGGTGTGGTGCAGTGGGAGCAGATCTCTAGAGGCAGATGCCTGGTGCTGAGGACGTGGTGTACCCGGGGATTCACATCAGGTACCTCTATCCTGGTTCCCAAGGACTGGATGCTTATTAGTGGCTGGAGCACAGGAGGTGTACTCCTGGAGCCCACCTTCTGCTTTCATTTCCTTCAAGAGGAATCCAGCTAAAAAACACTCCCCGATGGCAATCGAAACATGGCAAGTGCACACAGCTGGGAGCTTTGCTTCATGAGCTCACTCCTGATGCAAACAAAACCAGGCACATAGCAAGACCTGTCAAGAACCGAGGTCAAGAGACCAAGCCCAAGAGACCAAGCCCGGAGACATCGCTTTGCCCGAGCTCCCCCATGGTTCACAGACCAGTTCCTGGGGCAGCGAGGCAGCTCTTTGGCTTGGCCAAGCAGCTTTTAACCTGCCTTGGCCATAGCTGCCAATCTATTCTTCAGCCCTCTTGCACTTCCTCAGCCTTCCCCTTTTCCGTACCCTTACTAAGCACATACATACATGTATTAAGTGTGCGTGTGCGCGTAGGCAGCCGTGTCTGCTGCAGGGATTTCCTCCCAAACAATACCTGTTGTGCTAGCCGCAGCGGTTCTCTTGGTTCCCATGCTCAGAGCAGTTTGAGCTTCCTGCTGGCTCAGCAGCGAGACGTTCGGTGCTTTTTATACTTATTCTTCTTCGGGAGCCAAACGGAGGAGCGCAGTTTGCCTATGAATAGCGAGCTGACTGGGCAGGCGGCAGGAAGCTCGCACGCTGAACCGTGTGAACGTGGCGGGGGGGAGGAAGGGAGCCGTTTGCTGCAGCCCTGCCTGGGGCAGGCAGGAGGACCTGTTTTGGGCAGGATGGACCTTTTGGGGGTGCGTGGTTGAGCCCAGGCTGCCTCTTGCCCTCAGCAGGGCTCTGCCCCATCTCTGCTCTGCTGGCAGCCACCGCCGCGCTCACCCAGGCCTGCTCCTCAACTGCAAAGCCAGGCCTGAATCCGGGGGGTTACCAGCGAGTCACACATTGTTCATCTCCGCTGCTGGCTCAGCTCAATTTCATACTAAATTGCATGTGATCAACAACTTTGGTGCCTCTCTCTGTTTTGAGGCTGCCCAATGTTTCTTGTTGTAAGACCACCTGCCCACAAGGCCTGCAGACCTCAGCAGCTCACCGCCCCGCTGACATTTTCTGTGCTGGGTATCGGTCTCGGTCTGAATGCTTTTGGGAAGCTTCAGCAAAAGTGTTTTTGCTTGCTTACAAGAGAGAGATGAGAGAAACTTTTTTTTTTTTCCCTTCATATTCAAACATGTTCTTAAAACGATCAGTTGAGAAGCCCTAGCACTTTCTGCCTTTGGAGCAGAGACTTGAGATTTGGCAGATATCAGGAATGTGCCTTTGGTTGTTCTTCATGGGGGAAAAAAAAACAACACAGAACTTGAGCTAAGAAACCCTAGTAAAAAAACCAACAGCCTCAGATCTCAGACACTCAACAGAAACTTCTTAGAGGCAGGAGCTGGATTCTCTGAAGGCACGTTTGCTCAGTGGAGACTTGTTCAAGTCTGGCGGCGAAATCGCTGAGCTGCATGCAGTAGGCGTGCTGCAGCCCCGCGCTGCGGGTGAGGAGCTCTTTGAGATGAAAGGTTTCGGGGGGACGGGGACACTGCCTTGCTGGGGACCAGAGCCTGGAGATGCTCTCAGTGCAGCCGGTAGCCTGCTAGCGCTGCTGGTTACTCTGCTCCGGAGGCAGGACCGCAGCAGCACTTGGTGATGCCGACTGCATCGCTCTCTGCTCCACAACCCTGGGCTGGAGCATGACCAGAGCAGCCCTTGGATAAATCACCTGCCAGGCTCCAGCAGTGCCCCGCCAGGCAGGCGCGGAGTGAAGGTGTGTGCGGCGAGTACCTTGGGCACAGGTGGGGAAACTTCCGAGGATCGCAAAGGCAGATCCCCCTTCCCTGGCTAAGTACCAGTGCCGGTCTCTGAAGACAGAGGCACTTAATCTCTCTGTTTGAACAGAGCAAGCTAACATATATCTTGCTAATCTCATTCTGGGAGACAGTTGAATTATTTTAACTAAAAATTACCAAAAGAGCCCGCCTGAGGCAGACTTCCAGCACGGAGTATTTCAGCTTGAGCAACTGAGCTTTGGCAAAGCTGTGAGTAACGGCAAGCAGTCATTAATAGGACGCGGTAAGCAATTTCAACTGCAGGCAGCACTCATGGGGCAAAATGACAAACTTTGGCGCTGTGGATGGCTCCAGAAGGAAAGATGTACGTGTGCTCATGACATCCTACCACTACCCCTTTGGGTATGGGCAATCGACGGTAAAGCATGAAGAGGAACACGTGGGGTTTCTCTTTTGCTCACATTCGTGGGATAAGGAAAGGGAAAAACTTGAAATGTGTGTCCTAAGCTATTAGTGGGAGCTTGGCCGTGTCTAGCTGCATGTGTGTGTTACACGTAGCACAAGTAACAAACCCAGCTGTGACTTGTGCACGTCCAGCGTAACATCCACAACCCTGCCAGTGTCAAAATTGGCCAGCGGGGAGGCAGCTGGGGCTGGAGGCACATGGTGTGGTGGCCGCAGGCTTAACATGCTGATCAGAGCCATCCTCTTCCACAGAGACCCGGCATGGAGCATCCGAGGGGCTTCTTCCAGAGGACCAGCCCCTGAGCAGTGGCCAATCTCAAAGGAGGACCTCTCGCCACCCACCGCTGACCCCTGGTAAGCCCATCTCATGGACAGAGCCCACCAAATATTCACAGTGCAGCAGGGGAGCAGGACCAGGCCCCTGTCCATGGAAGGAGGAGGCGCAGGGGGAGACAGTGCTGGTGCATGGCTCTGCTCCGAGCCCTCGTCACTGTCACCATGAGCAGCCCAGTGGACACAGCCCCCTCACCCAACAGTCTCTGCACCCAGTAGGGGCTGGGTTTGGGCATCAGAGGGTGACGGGGCTGGCAGCACTTGCTGCCCCTCCACGTTTTTCTGCAGGGAGAAGTGTTTTCCTTTCTCTCTGCGCTTCATGTGGAGCTGTGTAAACAGCACTCGCCCCGAATGTTGATACCTCCGAACAATTGTATCAGCCTCTTGGGATTTATTCACCCAAACTACAATATTTAGTTATTTAGTCTTTCCTTTAGTGATTCAGTTGTTGTTCTGTTCTGAACACTGCCCAGTTTGCCAATGTCTCTTCGGCATGTGAGTGCCTGCTCTTTTATACGATGCTCTTCACATCTCTGCAAGTCAAAATTAGGCCGTCTTATTTTACAAACTAGCACCTAATTTGCTGCTTACTCTTATCCCTGCGCTAGGCCCTTTTCAGCAGCTGCTGCAGACTATTTGTCCAAATGTGTTTCCTTGCATTGCCCATGTTCCAGGAAGGAGCTTTTAGATGCTGTTTTCCTTCCCAATCCCCTATCTCACAGAGATTGTTTATGAGACTGAAATCATAACAAGAAACCAAAGCTCAGGCACTCTTCCCTTCCCTGTTACTAAATCCAAAATGATCCTTTTGGAAAAAAAGAAGTACTTTGCAGGTTGTTATTTCTGCAGCCTGGAAAAGGATTTCTTCCAATTTACAGCCCCGCTGGGTACTCGTGGTGCCGTGCACTTGACAGCCTGATGGGTGCTGTGGCAGTGAGCAAGGGATGGGGCTTGGAAATGGAGAGCAAGGCTCTGCCCAGCCCTCTGCTGTTCTGGGCACTGATGTGCTCTGCCCCAACTCAGGCAGGGGTTTTAAGAGCTGAGTGTTTGGATGGGTGAAAGCTTTGGAGTGATATATGCACCTTGTGTGTGCAGGTGATGCTTCCTCTTTATATTCTAAGTGCATTAGGACATGAAAGAAGCCAATTTCAAGGTAGTCTGCAAGTGACACACAAGCCCAGCCTGCAAAACACACGCGACTTGAAGAGCATTCACTAAGATGTCCATGCAGATTTTATTTCCCTTAAGAAACCTTTTGAGCTATTTCTTTCCTGCAGGCAACAGAGGTGAAAATCGGCTGGGTTTTGGACCTAACCTCCCAGCCAGAAGAAGTCAGGGGCAAAGAGGGTTCTGCAGGCAGTTCCCACTACCAGTGCTGTAAGCAGGGAGCTGGAAGCTGCTCCAAAGCTGACGGAGCCAACCCGGTTTGCCTGTGGCTGCCATGTTAATTTTTCTCCTTTTGAGGTCTGAATCCTTTAAATCTTTGTTTTATAGGGGTGAATAAAAACTGTCTACAGCCTATGGAGAGACCTGGAAGCCATTTGGTGCAGAAAGATCACAGAAATCTGAGAATGAATGCAAGCTTTTAAACCGAAAATAATGTATACATTTAAAGAGCAGAACATGCACATACATTCACAATGGCTGCTATCAAGACCTCTGGCAGTTTCTCTGAGTATTAAAGTCCTGGTTCTGGAGATTTCTGCTGCCCCTCAGGCTTCTGTCCCTTTCTGTGTTGTTACTTGCAGTGTTTAAGCCCCATTAAGTTTAAGTGCATACATTTTCTTTGGCTATTCAGCCCTAGCCACTTTGGGAAGAAATTGGCCAGAATCCCTGAACCTAAAATAATCAAATGTCTGTTTTTCCATTGAAAAGGATCCCATTTATCTGGCAAGCAGTGCAAAATGGAATAGGTAACTCAGTGCAAGCATTCTCCGAGAAACCTGTTGTTGCAAAACCAGGCAAGTGGCTTGCACATAAGCAGATAAGGTACCTTTACCAATGCCCAGGTTGTTGCACTGCATGTCAGTATATTTGGTTTCATAATATGTGTGACTTTTATTATCAGCTTCTTGGTTTCTACCACTCTCTTTAGAAATACAGCAGCCATGAGCTGTAGGCCAAGGAGCACAGCCTTTCAGACACTCCTTTTGCAAGCATCTGTCGTACTCCCAGAGAGGATGTCTTTGTTTCAGGATTGTTCCGGGCATGAGAATTAAAAATCAAAACGGAGATGGTGGCCAGCACGAAGAACCAGCCAAAGTTATTTTAATGAATTTCTTTCCATACCTGCCAATCCACCCTCCCCTGCAGGAAAAACAACTCTCGAACGAATAAAGCATATGGCATGGAAGATAGAGGGCCGATGCCAAGTTTGTCTTTGCCTTAGCAGAACTGGCTGTAAGATGCTGAATCTGCAGATCTTCCCCTGGAACATGCTCTTGGAGAGAAAAGGGGAGGCACTTTCCCACTGCCGCTGTAGCCTGGCTCCTGCAGTCTCGCTGTTCAAGTCCTCACAGTGCAGGGCAGCACGGGGCAGGCGCAGCACTGCCTTCCAGTTGGTGGACATCAGCGGGCAGCAGCAGCAAAGAAAGCGCATCAGTGAAGCGGGTTAAGTGTTTGAGAAGGACCTGAAAACCTGAAAACCACCTGTGTGCAGGTCACTGACTGCCCCGATGGCTGCTGTGCTGCCAGACAGGTGTGCCTGCTGCTGCGGGGTTTGACACCCTGCTCCTGGACGTGGTTCCTTATCCCGTTGGGTCCATGTCACTGGGAATACTGGAGGACCACTGTACTGCAGCTGCCAAGAAGTGAGGTGTTCAGTGTAAGTCCCTCCATCAGCACTTGTCCTCCAGTCAGCCGCCTCCACAGGTCGCTTCCCGATCCTAAAGTAGGTGTGGCGGGCTGTGAGAGCTGCCCTTCTCCCACCATGACAAAGCCCTGGATGCTGGCTCAGCCTGTGGCCAGCCCTCACAGGTCAGTCCATCCGTGCCACTCAGCCCCGCCAGGTGAGGCTCCTGGGGACACACCGGTGGCAGGTCCTGAGGTGGTGCAGCTACGTGGGACCTTGCCACCACCTGCTCAGCTCTGCTCTGAAGGATGTAAGATGCCGGAGGGACCTTAGTTTTGGTGCCCCACAGAGGAATGCCTCGCCAGGGCTAGGCGACAGCTGAAGAGGAGGTTTGAGTGTCTAAATTTAGAAGTTAGGCAGCCAAGGCCTTTATTGGGCCTATCTCTGCTGGGACTGAAGCTGAGCAGATTTATATAGAAGGAACAAATTCCTGGCTACGTTACTTTAATCTTCCAGACAGCTATGGAAACGTTTGTGTTGTGTACTCTACGAGACGTGTTTCTCCTACAGATGTCAGAGAGGAGGCCACCACGCTGCTTGGACACTTGCCACGGGGGGACACCATGGGTTAGGAGAGGGGTTCTGCCCACACAGGACCTTCTGCAGCACTTTGGCCTGGCGATGAAGTCCCCGTGTGTCAGGAAAGCCTCTTGCTGTGGGTAAGCGAGGTCTCTGTTTCCAGAAGAAAGAAGATACCCGGCAGGGTGACGAAATTAATGGCCTGGGGAGTCCCTTTGTTTAAACGAACACTGGGAGAGACGGGGGGAGGCAGCTTGGCGTTTCACATGGTTAATGTTCCCAGTCCTCTTCTTCATCCTCTCGTGGCAACCTGTGTACTTTGCAATGCAAAGGCAAATGAATCTCTGCTCTGCAGAAATGTAAATGTTTTGATAAAACCATTCTTAACAAGTTTGATTCGTTTAATCAGCTTGATTAACTGCAGAGCTTTATGGACTTTAATCAGGAAGGATTTACTATAAATTACCATTTCTTGCAGTTTTGTGAAGAACACGATGGTGGACGGGAGCCTTCCCAGCATGGAAGGCACTTCCTGACTCCAGCACCCAGCCCTGCCTCTGCAGCTCCACGTATTTCAGGTCCCTGCAGACCTGTGGGGCAGGTGCTGGGCTAGGGGTAGAGTGGAAATGCAGCTGCAAGCTCCTTGAGAGACCCTCTTTCTTGCATCTGCATCCTCTCGGTGATTAATCTCGTCTTCCATTAAAGGTGCAGCATGCCTCTTTCAGCCAGGCCCACAAGGAAGGAAGCACAGTTGTACCCAACAGCCCTCTCCTCACCATGTTTCATGAACAATCTTGACCTGCAATGGATTTTCAAGGGCTGGCTACACAAAATTCCCAGGCTTACCAGCAGAAAGAGTAATAAATAAATAAATAAACGGTTGATCAGAAGATCTCAGCTTGGGTACACGTCACAGTTGGTTTTTCGTCTCTCCTGTTCATCATGGCAGACTAACAGGCTTCAAAATAGGTCCAGCTGGAAAGAAGATAATTTTGTTCTGCTCTGCCCAGCCTCATTTTTCTGCGCTGAATGTCCAGTCATGTACCTGTATGAAACCTCCGAGGCCCTGGAGGCTCCGCACAGCGATGATTTATTCATTTTTAATAGGCAAACTTTTCTCCATGTTACATTTCTCTGTGCCTTTTAGTCACTTCCCCAGACGAAAGCAACCAGGAGGAGATTTAAAACAACTGAACTCTCCCCTCACATTTAGATTCTGCCCAAAGCACCGGAGCAGCTGGAGCATTTACAAAGTCTCCGCACCAGCAGGTTTGCTCCTCGCTCTGCGAGCGCTCTTCCCTTGTTGCTCTGCCATGCAGCAGGGCCGCTCCGCAGCGGGTCTCAGGGGGGCTGTGATCAAAACGCGCAGGCTGAGCAGTGTGGTTTTGCAGCTCTCTTCAGACCGCCTTGTGCTTTTTACTCCCACCCAACTGTAAAGTGGAATTGCCTATGAGGAAATTGTGTATTTCATAAGAAAGGAATGTTTTTCATCCTTTCCCCGCAATTCTGTGGCCAAGCCTCACTTATAGTCTGTTAGACTTTGCACCCCCATGACCTGAACGCTCATTTCTAAAAGATTCCTGTTGTCCAGTTTCCCTTGGATCCTGTCAGCTAGCTGGCGGGAAGCACCTTGGCTTCTTGGAGAGCACGTCAGGTAGCTCTGCAGGCCCTCCGGTGTAGAAGCAGAGGATGCACAGATGCCATTTTGTTCAGTGTCCTGTCACCACAGACAGGATCCTGGTCCTGGGGCAGACCAGTCAGGGCAGGGTGAGCTTGGAAAAGGTGTGTTAGATCCCTCACTCGTGCTATGGACTCTGTGGCCATGCAGGAAAACAAGCAGGACACATGCCTGGCTGCACGGGCACTCGCACCTCTGTGGCCCAGTCCTTCTGCATGCACCGCTTCACAGGCCGGCGTGGTGCATGAGGAGAAAGCCTGCTCCTCTTTCACCTTTGACATCTCCACACGGAATGAAAAACTCTTGGCCATTCGCCAGAAGTTAGGATTTGATGACTTTTTTCTATTTTTCCTTTCTTTTTTTTTTTTTTTTTCCCCACACAGACTAAACATTCGCATGTCATATCCTGTCCGAGCAGTTGTTTCAATAGCTGCCCTGCCAACGGAGACACTTGGGTTTAAGTGGCTGATCCTCTGCAGCCATGACTGCTTTTAATGAAAGATTATGTCTCCGTAAGGCCAAAATGTTTGTTATCCACCTTTGGCTTCTGAAAGAAATCTTGCAAGTGTTTCTGGATCAGATGTGTATGAAATGCTGTGCAATTTATCTAATAGCAAGGTGGAAAATCTGTCCTTTCCCTATTAATAGACTAAAAATCAAAACAGAGGTAGGGGGTTAAGGCCAAATGGTTTCATACACTATGAATTCATCAGAGCTTCACATTCCCAGCAAGAGAAATATTTGAAAGCAGAAGAAATGCATAGGAATAAACAAAAAATGAAACCAAATAAATATATTTAAAAACGAGGATTGGCTTTTCTTTTCATCTCTTCATGGGAGTTGCTTGCATTTTGGAGCTGTGCACTCAGACCCCCTGCAGGGCTCTGGCAGGAGCAGACAGGGCCACCAGAGAGCCAAGTGGCCCTTCATGGAGGCAGAGGCTCAGAGCTGTCCTTCAAAACTGTTTCAGCTTCTGCTGCAGGCACTGCTGCATGTGCTTGGGGCTGGGGAGGCCACAGCTCACTGTGCAAGTCAGAGGAAACAGTGAGAAGCTCAACTGGGGTTCAGGATGCAGCACAGTTCAGGCGGCTTTGAAAAAGAAAGTCTTACAGCTGGTTGCTGATCCAAGGAGAAAGCAGTAAGACGCTGCTGGTGACCTCCTGGGAGAAGCCACAGATAACTGCCGGCTGTTAAATCGCTCTTTCATCATGCCGTGTGAACGGCGCATGGCAGCGGGATCTGCACCGGAGACTGTTGCATCACAACTCATGGTTTCAGCAGAGCTTTGCAGAAAAAAAATGAAAGTAAACTGTGTTATTTTCAGCCCGAGCAGTGAGCAAATTCTCAGTATCTAAATGAGAACCCTTAGAGTAAGCTCCAGGTGTTGCAGGAAGTGGTGGAGGCGACTCAGTAAATGTCACACTTCCCTCTAAACTCGGTTCTGAAGTGGTGTCCAAAAATAACATTTCATGGGCATCTGTCTGCTTGAGAAGGCCCTGCTGTTTTCATGACACTCACAACTAGCCCTGCCTGGCACCTTCCTGATTTTACATCACCTTCCCTGTCACGAGTGCCTGCCTTTATCTTCCTGTCTTTGTGCTTGCCTGTAAAGCCAAATACATGGCAAGTCTTGTAGGTCTCCAAAAACAAAGCATAAAATCGCTTTCATCCTCATTCCATTGCTTTGATGCGTTTTCTTAAATATTTATGCCCTGTGACTGACCAACATTTCCTACCCTGTTTCAGTCCAACACGTTTTTCTCTGCAACTGCCCTGTTCCAGCATGCCTGAGGGCACTAGCCAGACACCAGGTCTGTGCAGCTGGGGAGTGGTGTGATGGAAAGGAGAAACCTTTTATGTCTGGAGGTGTGGGCTGTCCCAGGAGGTCCCAGGACAGCTTAGGAAATCAGGTGGCACGTGAATGGGGACGCAGCTGGGGGAGCATCAGCTGTTGGTGCATGGGTGCTGCAGGCTGAGCGTGCCAGGCAGGTCCCATAAACTTCTGAAACCGCTGCCTAGTCTGGGTTTTATAAATTGAGACTTCTGGTTTTATCTGAGCCTCACTTGAAAATGATTTAAGGTAGTTGCCTAACCACAGGGTATCTGCTCCTACGGCTGCCCCAGTACTTCAGGCCAGGTACTGCTCCCTCCTTAAACCCTGGTGCTCTCCTACCAGGAGGCATCCCAGCCTCAGCCCCACAGCCCCGAGGGTGCTATCTCCTGGCAGTGAGCTGGGTGCTGAGTCCTGGAGGGCGATATCCTGGCAGTGCTGTAGCTGCCCTGGCTGGTGGAGATGGCCTGTGCCTCTCGTGCTGATGGTGAAACCACCCCAGAGCCCCTTGCCGTAGCATGAACTGTCACCTCCTGCTTTCACAATGACGAGGTTTCATATCCTTCTCGCAGCAGCTCTTGGCTGGAGCTGCCTGGGCTGCACGCCAGCCCCTGTAGCCACTATCTCCTTGTGGAGGATAGGGCAGCCCATGCCACAGCACACTCCCGCTCCTGCTCATGTCTCGCGTGGCAGAGGGAAGTGGTGGGGCTGGCAGCGGTGGGGCAAGCACCCTGGTTTGGGCTGCACCTCCTTGTTGTTCCCATGTAGTCTGCTTTGGTTCACCCCGTGAGGTGGTCTCAAAGTGCATGGGCTTCATTCCTTGTGCAGGAAACCAAGCTGGAAGCTGCTCTCCAGGAGCACCCTGGCTGCTTCCCAGCACGGCCTATAGGACCAGATGCAGTTTGTCTCAAGTAACCCCCACAGACTGAGTGCTCTATCGATATCAGGTCCTCAGCCCCAGGTGCTTTGCCCCACAGGTCTGCTCCTATTGTGCTGCAGGACTTGCTCTTGGAGACGCCACACTTGTGACTATTGCTGGAAGTGAGCAAACCTGGGCTCTCCTGGTAGTGGCCAGGGTCCAGCCTTCTGGGACAGTGCCCTGAAATTGGTACCAGGCGACTCCAACACACCAAAGTGTGGCTGGCAGCAGTCCAGCAGTGCTGGCAGAAGCCCATCCCTCACCACAGCGAGGGGGGCTGTGGAAGTACACAGACGGCAGCAGGCCTCAGCCTTGTGCCCACGCCATGCTTGCTGCCTTCAGCCGGGGTGGAGACGGCTGCAGGTGCCATGGGGCCGAGGGCACTGAGGCCGAGGGACAGATTTTGTTCCTGGAACTGGCACATCACAGGTCGTGGAGTTTTTCTGCACAGTTCAGATGGGTTACTTCAAGCCCCGTGTACGGAAAATGGAGGCTGTTTTGCTTCTTGTTGATGCTGAGGGGACGGTGTGTGGGTGTGGGTGTCGCCATTTTGCATCACGTTTCTTTGCACAAGTTTCCAGGGCCTCTGCTGTTCTGCGATAAAAATTCATACCTTTTCGTCGACTTAGATGAAGGAACCCTTTGGAGAATGATGTCTCCTGCATCTCAAATACTCAGAAGTGTTTGATCACGAGTTTTGGATGACTTCAGGGCCAGACTTGCTGATTTACAAAGCTTATATGCCTGCTGTTCAAAACTTATGAAATATGGAAGCGATTTGTGTATGGCTGGGAGAGGTGCTCACATGCTCAAAGATTTTTTTTTTATTATTATTTTTTATTTTTCCATTGTGTCTTTTCAATTTCTGAGTCTCTGGGACTTTTCACTGCTTCTTTTAAGCAGACCCAAATGGCTTACAAGGAACTTTCTTAATGGTGGGGAGCCCAAACTTGGGGACAGATTTCTCTGTAAAGGTCACAGTGGTGCAGCTTTCCAGGGAACCTCAGGAGGGGCAGATTTCAGTGGCGGGGCCCAACTTGCTGTGGCGGTGTCATTGGCCAGGGTGGCCGGGCATGGCAGCACTCCTGTGTGAGGTCTGGCGCCCTGCGGTTTCCTGACGGGGCAGGCGGCCGTTGCTGGCGATGATTCAGTGCCACTGCGATGGGCAGCGGGCTTCCTGCAGGGATGTGCAAGCGACCCCCGGGGCGAGGGCAGCGGGGCAGGAGGACACAGCAGGATGCAGGCTGGTGCTGTGCTCCTGCAGAAATGGGTGCCAACAGGGCTTCTGCGGCTGTCCCAGGTCCCAGGGCGCTTCTGCTGGGTGTGAGCAGCAGCACGGCATTGCTGGCTGCGTCCCTCTGGCATGCAACCTGTGTGTTGGGCTGACAGAGCAAAGCTTTAGGCTGTCCTCAGAGCGCTGTGAAGTTTTTCAGGCGATGTGGGTGGCATGGAGGTGCACGGGGTGACTCGGAGCCTCCCCGGGGCTGCGCCTGCCAGCGCTCGTGGCAGGTACGGTGCTGCTTTAGCAGAGCTTTGCATAATTTCTCGAAGGGAAGGATTTAGCAAGACAGAAAAGAGGAAATGCAAATGACTTCCTTTATTTTTATTTTTCTGGTAGGGTAGCCGCACACTCGCGATGTCTCCATTCACTCCAGCAGCTGCATGTGGCGGGCTCAGTGACCGGAAGGTGCGGTCCAGCTGTGTGTGCGCAGCCGATGCAAAGCCTAGAAAATAACAAACACAGGCTCACCAGAGCAGGGCACGTCCGTTACTGCCCGCCCGCTGTAATTCAGGAACTAACAGATGTCCCCGAGCTTTGTGCCCGGCCTGAAAAGGACACGAGAAGGGAACTGGTTCAGGGCTCATGCACAGCTGCGCAGATCAGATGACTCTGTCAGCTGAACCTGCCCACTAACCGGCCCTGATTTATCATAGCTGGAACCCTGACCTTTATTTGGGCACAAAAATACCGTCTTGGAAAGCTTGCTGCCGGCTCTGTAAAGGATGATAGTAATGATCATAACAATTTGTAGCGTTTCTGTAAGGAAGGGTCCGGTTACAGGTTGCGATGTGCAACCCTCCACAGCTGCGTGCCTCACGCCAGAGTTCACTGGAAGCGACCACAAAAGACATTTTCCAGGGGCCAGGATCACGGGACCTTTAACATTTCCACTCGCATTTATCCAAGGGGTGACAGGGCATAGATGCACACGAAGGCCTTGTGCCCACCTTTGTAAGGTGGGGGGCTCGGACCCGTGGCTGCTGTAGGCTGTTTGGTGGCTGGTGCGAAACGAGCTGGCAGCTGCCACCAGGGCCTGTGTCACGAAACCACTGTACGTTGGCAGCCTCAGCCCCCACCGAACAAGCCGGGCTATTTTTCTCATCCTTACTTGGAACATAAAACCTGGGCTTGAGTGCTGCTTTCACGTGGTGTGCTGACCAAATGCCGTCCGAAGATAGCTCTGCAGATCGGCGTGGCCAGGGCTTGACCATATTTCAAAACACAGCTGAAAAGGAGAACTGGAGAACCCCTGTGGATTTCCTTTCCGCCTCATCTACCCTGGCTGGGCAAATGGCGCTGGGGGCCGTTACAGCCACAGCTGAGTTTTGGAGGCGCTCAGCCGGGGCCTTGACGTTCGGTGCAAGAAGGGAGCATGGCTTGGTGGCTAATGCTGAGGAGCAGCAGCTTGGAGATACAGGCTGCGTTAACCTACGGGCACCACCTCGCGGATTCCTAACTGTGGGTGTTTTGTGCACACTCTGTGGTGTTTGTTTTTTTTTTTTTGTTTGTTTTTTTCCCTCCAAAATGCACTGATAAAGGCTGAGAATGAATCCTGAGGGACAGCTCAGTCCAAGGGACCTCAGAAGGCACCTCTGCAGAGCAGACGGGCGTTGTGCAACGCTTATCTGCAGCGATCTGTGACTAGTTCCCCGAAGGCGGGGGTACGAGGTGGTGCGGAGTTCGCAGCAAGGCCCAGCCTGCGGCTGTGGCCCCAAGGGAATTGTAGTTTCCCTGCCAAATATGACTTTGTGCAAGAGCTTTTCCTCAGTCTTTGCAGCAGCGTGCATACCCTCAGATTTCAGTTTCATAGTTTAACTTGAAGAAAGCATCCAAAAAAGCCCCTCAGAAGAGCATGCAGAGTGGCACCAGGCTGCACAGATGACCACAAGGAAGTCAGTAGCTGAGGACGTGGAAGGACAAGAAGGTGCCAAAGTCAAAGGCCATGTAGTTTGTTTGCAGTGAGTCATGATCTTCCACTTTCATGCACACCCCTCATCCGTCTGCACGGTGTCCTACTGTCTGTCTTTGTGGGGTTGTGGGGAATGACCACACACCTCAGCTTCCCTGGACAATCCTCTTCTCCCTTTCTTGTCCTGGTGACTCTGCAATTCGACAGTGCCTGCGGTGTTGTTTCTTTAATGCAGCTGGTTTTTGATGGTTCAAGGATATTTACTTAGGTTCCATGGCCCCACTGAGGAAAAAATGGCTCTTTAGTAAGAAAAGCCTGATGGAAAGGGTGGTTTATGAAAGGAACAAAAGTTTGGGAAGAGGGGAAAAGTCAAGTGAGTGCAAACACCAGTCAAAGCCGTTCCCTTGCTCAAAACGAGTATTAAGAAAACTTGCTCAGTGGGTCACGATGAGCTCATTCAGTCCACTAGATTACTGGAAAAATCTTCCACTTTGACAAGTATGCATGTGTCTGTGTTGAGTCAGAACCTGGCAGAGCAGCTTTAGTACACATTTTTGTTATAAAGAAGTCCCCTTTGTCTTTTGTGACCCTAAAAATTTTCTGGCCTGAATATGCTCTGTGTTTCTCTCTCTCTCTTTTTTTTTTTTTTTTTTTTTTTTCCACACAGAAAATGTAGGCACAGCAGTGTTGTATTCCATTGGGAATGTGGTATCTGGGGTCTGGGGAGGGAGGGTCTATCTTCCTACCTGCAACACTTTTCTTCACTGTTGTGCATCCTTTTATTTGCTGTCCAGCCAGCTTTTATTTAGTATACAAGTAGTGGTGCATGAAAACATTGCAAGCGCACCCCTGCGCATGCTCACACACAGCAATCGCATTTCCAGAAGTTTGCTGCGAGCATCACAAAAATTTTCTGCTGAACTTCTTGGCATACTTTCAATGCAAAGCTGGCAGCTATCACATGATGAATCCAGCCTACAGTGCGGAGGCCTCGGAGAAAAACAACGAGATCTGTGACACTAAGAAAACACAGTCGCAGACACCACAAAACTACGCTGGGACGGGCACCGTAGTTGTGGGGAGGGGTCATGGTCAAATATGCTATTTCAAGCAAAATCTGAGAGGAGGATGTGTTCTTAGCCACAGGAAGAGCGTTGTCTTAGTCAGAGCAGTTAATCATGCAACATGAGGAGAGATACATACAGTAAGCCCGCATGATTTCTCTTTCCAGCAGCTTTTTTCCTCGTCTGAAATGACTTGCATATATTTTCGTATTGCTAATTGCAGTACGGTAGCATCTGTGCTCTGGCCTTGCTGATGGAAACCTGGAGGTTCTCCGGGCCGTGTGAGCCATGCTGTTGTCACAAAGCTAACCTCCCTGTGCCTCTTTCAGGCAGACAGAGAGAAAGAGAAAAAAAATGTCCGGCTGACGTCAATGAAGACCACACTGCACTGGATAATATTACTGTGTGCCTCAACCACCCACTCCCTTTAATTTACTAGAAACTAAGCAAGCTGTTTTGAAACCCATAGCTTCCAGCGTGTTTGCGCTGCTCTCCCTCCACCAAAGGCCATTAATTGTCAGGAGCTTGAAAGCTACCTGATGCCTCGTTCAAAGCGCTGAAGCAGAGGGGATTTCCATGAGTAATAACTTCAGTCTGTGCCTGTGCAGCGCACCGTAGGCTAGAGTAAATTGATCCAGCTGCTTGCAAGGCTAGATGGAAAAGTGCCCGGGGGGGCCGGAGCACATCAGCAGATGGAGCTGGATGCTGTTGTCATCACGTGGGGCTCCCCAGCTGCTGGGCATGCTCGAGCTCGGCTTCCACCACGAGCGGGGCGCGCGCAGCCTTCCTGTCTGCGCTGACTTGCAGGGTGAGGCAAAGGCGCTAGCGCATGTTGCAACGTCTTCTCTTGTAATGAAAAGGATAATTTTAGATTAGCCAGAACTGTTGCTTTTTTTTTTTTTTTTTTTTTTCACCATGGTGGTTTGTTTCTTTTCCTCCCCTCCCTCCTCAACGTCCCCGCCACACTGACCCCAGCGATTTGTGCGCGTGTTTTGCTCAGCAGCAGCCTTCTCTGTGACAGGGACTATAAAAGCTTCTGAGAGGCCAGCTACCTCTACAAATAATCAGAATTGGCTGGATTAACCTGTAACCCGAGGCGGCGAAAATACAGATTCCACTAGCCAGATGGCAGAGTTCAAAGATCCACTCACTTCCTGGCTGAGGTTGCACAAGTTAATTTTTATCCTTGTTAAAAAGAAATAAGAAGTGAAAACATAGCAATAAAATGTGTGCTGCTTGCTATCTCTGGTTTTAATCACACTTATTTTATTCCTTAGTGTTTTGTTATTAAGTAGGTTTGGGGGATGTTAGGAAAATACATTCTTTCTCTCTTCTGGAGATGCTTAAATCCTACTTAGTTTCTTTGTATTTTGCTGGGGCGTTTGTGTGATCAATTCAATTTAGTCTGTTGGCAAGGAGCGCTAAATAGGAGGAACTAATTAAAATAGCCGGAATGCAATTCATTTTTTTTTTTTCTTTTCCTTTCCCAACTGAACAATTCAATTAGATTCACAGAAAAAAACTGCACAGTGAGTCTGCACCCTGGTCCTGGAGGCTTCCGCATGGAGGCCCCTGCAGGTTTGGAGCTGCTGGAGCTGGAGCCCTCTAGCAGAAACGGGGCATTTGGGCAGTGCTGCAGCACCAGGACATTGCTGCACCTCTCCTGAGGCAGTGCTTGTAAATGTGCTCGAGCAAGAGGATCAGGGTATCTAGTTCAGGAGGCAGCCCTCAGATCCTTGGCCCCGATTGCCCGACTTTCCTCACGAGCTAAGTGCTAATTGTGACACGGCAGGCTGCACAGCGCGAGGCTCAGATGTGTGCCTGAGCCACCGCTGTCATGTGGGTGCCGCGGGGCGTAAGCAAAGGTAGGTGGCTTGGCCAGCAGCGTGCAGAGGCAGGAGTGGAAGAATAAAGTTCATGGGTTGTTTTTGTGACGGTTTGTCCTCGCTGGCTGGGCCATTAATGAAAACAGACGTGGAGCTGCTGGCAGCATGTCGGCGAGCCTGCAGGTACCCTTCAGGAGAGCAGCACTGGGAGTTCCAGGCAGGGAGTTTATGATTAATTTTGCAGGCATTTATTGTGCAATACGAAATGGCCACCGGCCAGCTCAGAAGTTAAGCCAGAAGATGACTGTCAAATGAAACTGTTACGTTTGGCAGATCTTTCCAAAGCTGCTGTGCAAAACAGGCATATTGAAGCTAATTTCTGGATTTTCCAGATCCTCTGCACAGCTTATTCTTGTATCACGGTCCTCTTTGTTTTACCGTTTTCAGTGGAATAATTGGCTTTGACTTGCACGCTGTATAAATTTTAGGTCAGGATTTTTCCTACAGACAGCCCTCGCCGCGCCTCGCATTTGCCAGCATCCCTCTCCTTCTGGTAATCCCCCCCCCGAAACGGTGCTGCGAGGAACCAGCCCTACCCCATCGCGGGTTCTGAAAAAAAAAACTGCCTGCTCCTTGAACAGCCCGTGTAGCCCGGATGGAGGTGAGAGGGGCACTAACACGGCAGCGGTGAGAAGGGAGCCCTACCCTTGCAAGTAGCTCACAGGAGACATTTCCCTGCCGTGTGGCCGGCCCGAAGGTGAGGTCAGTCAGCGAGCTGTGTTTGGACACTGTCTGGCACAAACGCCCCAACGATAAAGCTTAATGTGTAACCAAGGGTTTTTTTCTTCTGTGTCAGCAGTTGGCAAGAAGACACTGTAAATAAGGATCCCTGTGAGTAAATAGATATGTGTGGAGAGGGGAGGGGAGCACCGCAGCGAGCAGTTTTGAAATTCATGCCAGGGTTGCTTCAAATGATAAGGTTGTTTGAGTAACCTGCAAACCATACGGATGCCCAGGTTTCAAAAACAGGAAAGCGTCTTGTTTAAAAACCTTCTAAGGCAACATGAGGGCTTAGAAAAGAAACTGGCTTTGTGGTTAAGTGATTGTACTTCCTTATTGATATAATGATTGAGCTGGTGCAAAGCCTGCCGGGATGGCGGTGCTGCGAACCGCAGGCCGAGCAGTTGTGATGACAAAGTTCTGCAACCGGCCGCGGGGCTTTCTGGAGAGATGAGAAATCTCAAAGTTTCCCTTTTCATTTCCTCTTGTGCTAGGCTGAAGTTGTTTCTTTTTTTTTTTTTTTTTTTTTTTTTTTTCTTTCTTTCTTATTTTTTTTTTCCCCCCTCACTCTTTTTCAGTAGTGTCCCAAGAAATAAGTACACAATCGGGTGGGCTGCCACCCTCCTTGTGGTGCCAGCTGAGCACCGGGGCAAAGTGCACTTTCCTGAAGGGTCTGGCCCTGGCTGCACAGGATTTGCTGATGTTTTTGTAAAGCGTGGTGGCTGTGTTTCTCCATAGATAAAACCGAGCTGCGTGCTTTCTGTTTGACCTTTGTTTTGGAGTAAGAACAGCAACACAAGAGAGCTGAATTGAAGTTTCCACGGGAGAAGGCGAGGCACGTGGTGCACGCGCGGGTGGACGTGCACGTGTACGGCCTGCCCCCTGCGGGGACCCTCCTCCTCGGGGACTTACAGCACCGGTGCCTCGAAAACAACAGCCTGCCTTACCTGAAATGACACAGCTGAAACGGTTCCCAAACAGCGAGTTATTCGTTATCGGACGGGGGTGAAAGTGCAAAGCTGGGATCGAGGCTTTGCCTTCCTCAGCGGGCACCGTTTCCAGTCAAGGCCACGCTCCTTCCTCTTGGGTTTGGTTCGTCCCTTCCCTGAGCATGTGGGGCACATGCCCCTTCCCTAAGGGACATCTCCAGCTCCTCTCCCCGTGGAGAGGACATTTCAGCCTCCCCCTCACATCTTTGTGCCTCCCATGGCATCGCCACCAGGCTGCTTTCCTCTCTGGCTGCAGGCTGTGGTGGAGATGCAGCCGCGATACGCTTGGTCCATAAGGATCCCGAGCACTGCATCCTGATTGCTCGTCAACCGAAATGTCAGTGGCTTCTCAGCCAGCTTACAGAAAAGAAAATATTTAAAAAACTTTAGGAAATTAATTTAACTGGACTTGGAGCAAAGTTTTTTGGCTAGAAATTCAGGCTCCGGCCAACACGGAAGGCTTCTGCCAACTCATTGCCTTGGTCCTCGAAGCCAGCAATGAAAAGAGAGCAAGGAGAAGAAAAAAAAAAATCCCCTCCATTGCCCATTAGATTTAATTGTGCTTTTTTGTAAGCCTCATAAATCCTGCCCAAATCACGTCATCAAGCCACAGGGAAACTGAAACCTTGCCCAAGGCAGGAGCCAGCAGAGCTGTTCAGACTCGAAGGGTTGCACTTGGGGACAAGCTCAGCGCGCTGCGGTGCTGCTCTGAGCAGGGAATTGTTTGTGGGAGCCTGGGCGAGGGGCGGAAAGGCGGCGGGGAGGGGAGCGGGGGCTCCAGGAGCAGGACCGGGCCCCTGCCCTGCCTTGTTCCTCCGTGGGTGCCAGCACAGCCGGGAGAGGAAGAGCAGCACGCGGAGAGGCAAAGCAGACATCCTCACCTCCGCCCCCGAGGAGGCCTTCAAAGGGCTTTTCCTCTGGAGGGGGGAGCCGGAAGGGAGGAGCGGGGATCCGCGCTGGGAAGGGCCCTTCCAAGCTCCTTATTTTTTCCTTTGGGCATGGGACGGGAGGAGGGGGGGAGGATTAAAACATGAAGGCGTCTGCACTGAGCTCTCAAGGGCTTTCCTCCCCTTCTCTCTTGCGGTGCTTTGTTGTGATGTTTCCACATGCAGCTCCCAGCGAGGAAAAGAGGCTTTTGGATCGGGGGAAGAGCATCCTTGTCGGCGCTCTCCTCTGGCGCGTGGTGCTCCCCTGGGACACCAGTGGCGTCTCCCCACAGAAAACAGGGGATCCCCCAGTCCCGGGCTGGCCAGAAGGGAGCAGGAGAGCAGGGTTTGGCCTGAAGCAGTGGCTGGCCCTACACAGGGCATGTTTATTGCCCACGGAGGACAGATGTGCTGTCACCTCCTGCAGCCCTGCAATATACGCCCTACGGCTATAGGTAAAGGTAACCAGCGGTGCTTAGTCACCCACCTAAGGACTGCAGCAGAAGCCAAAAATGGTTGCTTATTTTCACTTGGCTTTTTTTTTTTTTTCCTCCCCAGCTGAAATATGTGTAAAAAGCATAAGAGGATAAGGATCCCCCTGCCAAGCTTCGTGAGGAAGCCCCTGAGCTCTGCCACGTCCCGGCGCCCTGACCTTTACGTTCAGCCAGGCTTTACTCAGCCTCATCATTATTTTGGCTGCGTTTTTGCTGCAGAGGAATGCAGGTGTTTCCTCTGTTCCCACCAGTGTGCCCATGCTCTGATTTCTGAGAGGCCGGGGAGGCTGCTCATGCGTGTCGTGTCGTGCTCAAGGAGGCATCTGAGGAAAATGTGGATGCAGTTCAGGCAAATGACCAGGGGAACGATGCATTTGCATGCACTTGCATGTGAGTGTAATTTAGGCAGGCAACGTGTTGAGTTTGCTTGAAAATCTGGCCCATGTTTTTCCATTTCTGATTTTCTTTTTTCCTTAAGATAAAAAAAAGGCAAACACCTTGTTCTTTCATTTGGTCTGCAATAACCCGAGCTGGTTCCCTTGGAAAGCTTATTTATTCTCCTTGGCTGCTGAAGTGGATGCTGAATTTTGAGCATCCTGAGAAGAGACGGTGCGCAGATGGGATTCTTTGTTGCTGAAGCTTTTGTTGGACAATTATAAGGCTCATTTATATAGCTGTTTATATATTAAAATTGTTGGGTTGCCTGGGGCTACGGATAAGCGCTCCTTGTTTGACATATCTCTAAATAAATATAAAGGCACATTATTAATGGATACAGCTTTAAAAGCAAACACCCAGAGATGCACTTACAATAAGGGGAGGAAAAACCAAGGTTACATCATGTTGCTAGAAGCCAACTGCTTTGTTTTCTAAAATGTTTCTCTGTAGGACACAGATGATTTTTTGACTCATTCAGTGTTTGAGCATCCAAAAAGTCTCACGGTTGTTCCAGAATTCTTTCAACAGCATCCCGAATGGCATTAACAGACAGTTACACTATTTCACTGCCCAGCTTATCCCTTCCCCATGATGGACTCATGTTTGTCAGGGAGCTTTGGGAAGGAATATTCTGTATTTCTGGAGAGCGGTGTCCCTGCTGAGGCAGGACTCGGCTTTTTGGGGGCTTTTCAATCCACATCATTTTGCGATCTCAAGATGCGTGGCTGTCCCTGGGCTTGTGCAAATGAAAGTGCACCTCTGGGTGAGCACCAGGAGTCACCAGGAGGCTGAAGCTAGTTATGGCTGGCACAAGGAAGCATCTCCTAAGTTCACAGGGAACCATTTTTACTGGCAATCATGAACTTGATTGTGTGCTTTCTGCCACCCCTGCTGCACTCCTTCTCTGGAGGATGGTGTTTTCTTCCTCTTCCTCCTTCTCTCCTCCTCCTCCTGTGTGAGTCCGCCTCTGCTAACATCCAGCTCGGATGCTGAGAAAAGCCTGAGAACAGCAGCAGGGCACGAGCCCTCCAGCAGCCCTCTAACAGCATGGTGAAAGCTCCTGTGCCTCCTCGAGTGCTGTTTGTTCAGACATTGCCTCCGGTGTCCTGGCCAGGCTCCAGGGGGTTTTGCAACTCCACCTTCCAGCCATGCAGGGCTCATCCTGAATTCCTCTGGTCTCCCTCCCGCAGGCAGCTCTCCGTCAGCAGTGGGACGGCTCTCCTGAGATGAGGGACCGGACCTGGCTCTCCTCTGCGTGCTGCCAGCCCTTAGCTGTGACCCTCCTGTCGGACAGCCGCTCACCGCACGGGTCCCCACATGCTCAGGGGGCTTTGCCATGGTGCCCCCTCGGTGTACTCCTCAAGCAGGCGTGAAAAACTGCCCGGTATCAAGTTGGCCGTGTTTAACTTTTGGGTGCTTTGGTGACTTGCAGTCCTCCACTGCACGGAGGAGCTCTGGGGAAGGATGAAGGACACACAAGTGTTGGAAGCGCAGAGGCAGAGGATAAAAGGGCAGGCTGGGCTGATCAGGATCCAGCCAAAAAAATCTCCAAAGCAGCAAAACAGAGATGGAGAAAGGGTTGCCAGTGAGTCAGGGGGAAGGAACGGCAGCATTGTCTCTCGTTTGAGCAAAGTCTGTAATGGAAGAAGACTGAGTGCCAGGGAACTAATATCCCTCTGCAGCGATTGTTTGATCCTTCCCTTCCCCTCCAAAAAAGCAAGTTGCTGCTGGCTGGCTTGCAAGTAGAAAAACCCAGTCCAAGAAATAATCGAGTCTCTTGTGCCAATAAGCGCATCTGTTGGTGTGTCAGTGTTGATCCTCCTTCAGTACATGCCACATGCTCGTTTCTTTACACAAGATGGGCTAGAAGGGCCATTAACTAGATTAGGAATTCTAAGGCACAATTAAAAAACATGCTGCCTCTTTGCTTTAATCTTCCCTCCTTTCGCTCCCAGGCTTGTTTTCATGCCGGCCTGACACAGTCCTCAGTTGGCTGGCGGCGGGAGGCTATCATTGCACAACCCTGGCTGGTTTCTGAGCTGTGCAACACCCTGCAGCACCTCGGCAGCAGCACGCCGGCCCGCCAGGCTCTCCAGCAAAGGAGTAACCCCACCGGCTGGCAGAGTGAGAGCCGCATTTACCACCCGGGGGGGAAGAAGGTGTGAGCAGGAGAGGCTCGGATGGGCAGGAGCAGCCCTGCTGGGAGCCCTCCCGATGCCCCGAGCAGCATCTGGTGGCATGGGGGGCCGGCAGCCTGCTCGCTGGCACGGGGAGCTGCTCCTTAATTGCTGTGGCGTTGTGCAAATGCGGTGCAAATTTCACAGAGGACATAGCGTATTCTAAGATGATTGTTTTTATTCCTCGGGTAAGTGTTTTCCTCAAGCAGAACAGCATTTATTACTGTTATTAATGGCCTCACCGGTCCTCGTGCTCGTTCTGAATCTTTATGGCTACTGTCCTTGTACAACACTGAAGGTACACAGACCCGATCCGGGACTGCCTGCATTGCAAACAGGTTAAGGGTTTGATTTTTGGCAGGTTTGGGCACCGGGATATTTTTGCATTCTGCCCTGTGTTTTCTGTGCTGAAACGTCCTCCTCGTCACTGTGTGTGGAACACAGCAGCAGAATGCTTCCCTGCTGTAGGAAACGTGGGGCAGTATAATCGCTCCGTTAATCCCTCCAAGATTTCAGAGATGAATGCCACACTTTCCCAGTATTTCTCTTATGCTATTTGCTTATGCTTTTTAAAACTCGACAAGATGTTTCCATATGGTTATGTTTAGGAGGCGTTATGGAGGCCTTTCATCCTTCTCTGAAGCACAGGATGAAGTATGGGTCACTTCTGGAATAAAGCAGTCAGGCTTGTGATCCTGTCATCCACTACATCTAATACGGCAAATTCTGAGTTGCCATGAAAGCCATCGTCCTTTTTGGGACTAAATGACTTGGTGGGGTTGCTTTAAATGTCGAGCTACACCTATTTGATACTGGTTTGGATGAAAGAACAAGATCTTTCACTCTCCTTATGGTGGAGTGCCAGCAAGGTTTAAAATTAATATCCACCGACATTAGAGAGGGAAGGAAATGAAAGAAACATTTCTTCCCCAGAACCAGCCCTGCTTTCCTGCCTATTCCATAACTGCATAGCTGTCTGTCACATTTGGCACCAGAAAACATTAAAAAGTTTTTAAATACCAGGAATTCTTCTCTGTCTTTAAATGTAGACCAACAGGAATGCAATGGAAAAAGAGCAAAAGGCAACAGAGAACCGAGCCAGTCAAGTAGTTAATGTGGCTCTGTGTAGAGCATTTCTTCCTGCTTGATGAAAGGCACAAAATATCCATCCCATCTGCGTCTGGAAGAACTACTGCAAGGTAGCAGGCACTGCCCCTGGCCTGCTGTGTCCTGGGATCTGGAGAGGAGCCTGGGGCTGGGGGACATGGGCTCAGCCTCCAGCTTTCCACATTTGCTCCAGATCACCAGCAGATTCCAGCAGCTTGGGAGAGCTGCCTGGAGATGCCTGTGGTCTTACTTGCTAGAAATACCGCGCACCTATCGTATTCACTGAGTCTGAGCACAATAAACCGTGGTAAATCAGGCTCCTGGCTCTCTGAACGCAGACATCTCAATGAGCAGAGGCTCTCTCAAGAGATGTTTTTCCCAGCTATGAAAAGGGGAATAACTACATTACAAGAGGGGCAGTTAAATCATTTTTTTTTCTTTTTTTTTCTTCTTTTTTGTAAACTGCTTCGTAGCTTTGGAGAGGAAGCCATTACGGGAGTACAAATTACTCTTTATTTTTTATTTTATTTATTGCCTCATTTTCAAATAATGAAATTCTGAACATACCTCCTCGCTAGCTGCTGAAAAATAAGGAAATGCGAGAGGATTCTTAATGATGCTAATAAAGCCAGCTGAACGCTTTGCCAAAGTATATTTTTTTATTGCAAAAATACCATTTTATAAATACAAATGGTCTTGATAGGATTGCATTGGTTGCGATACAAATTTGTTTAGAAAAATATACAGACCAAATTATTTTGTATGAAATGCTCCCTTTTTGTCTGGCTGGAATGAGGCACTTTATTTCAGAATTTCATTTTGGGATTACTTTTTTGTTGTTGTTGTTTTGGACACTTTAGTTTATATTCTATAATAAAAATACAAAAAATAAAAAAAGGAGATGTGATTTTAATGCAAGTGGAATGTATTAACATAGAGTACGTCTTGATGACCTTGTGGGTCCCTTCCAAGGCATGATATTCTACGATTCTATGATTTTGTGCCAGTGGAAACTACAATTAGTGGGAAAAATTCAGCTATACTGGTGGTCCTGTCTGCAGCCTTGTTGACCTTCTCCGCTAGGGAAGAGACTGGAAGCTCACTGGAGTGTCCAAAGCAGCCTTCTTTGCTTCTTCTGCTCTATCCTTCTTGTTCTTAATGCCCTTTTTGTCTAGCAGGTAGCATGATTTGAAGCCCCAGTTCAAAGGTTTCCTTTAGGCTGAGGTGGATTAAATGGGACCTCCAAGTGGAGCATGGGTTTTTCACTTATCTTGAAGATTTGGTGATCGTGGCTGTGGGGTGTGGGTGAAAATCCATCCCTGTTGCTCCTCTCTGCCATTTGTTTCCCTCTGCCCTGCAGCACTGAGCTCGGTGGCCCTGTTTTGCTGAGTGTCCAGGGCTGAGGACACTTCCAGCACACAAGGAATGCTCCTGATGCATTTTTGGGAAAAGGGATGTGGAAACACCTGCCCTTGGTAGCCACCAGGAACAGAGTGGGAAAAGGGATGAGATAAGGTGGAGCCTCACTTCTGATCGATGAGTGCTGGGGTAGCTGAGATGCTGTGAGTGGGACGGAGTCCAGGCAGAGCACTGGTGTGCTCACTGCTGAAACCCATGCTGCTCTTTTGCTTTTGCAGGAAAAATGGATTATGTGAGTGTCCACAAAATGTGCTCTCTGTCCAGCATTGTCTGGTTTGGAGAGGCTTTTTGGGGAGGGAGGGAGCTAGCTCTCTGTGCATCAGCAAGTCGCCCGCTGAGGGTGTGCTCAGCTCATCTGGTCCAACCACCCCCCTACCACCAATGTCACCCACTAACCGTGTCCCTAAGCACCATGACCAACCTTTCATTGAACACCCGCAGGGACGGTGACTCCACCACCTCCCTGGGCAACCCGTCCCGGTGCCTGACTTCTGAAAAATAACCCATCACCCACAGAGGAATGGGTGTCTGAGGGGAGACCTCAGGGTGCCAGGTAGCACCCAGACCACAAGGCAAGCATGGGTCTGGATGGATGGGAGCACGGGCAGACCCCCAGACATCGGCATTGCTTGGTCACCCAGTCAACCCCGCTGGCACCAGGGAGCCTGGCACAAGCTGTTTGCAAGCGACTTGCCTGCCAGGATTGGTCAGCCAGAGGGAGGGATGTGCTACCTGTGGTGACGTTTATAAAAGCGCACCCCTGGACACAGCCAGACACGAACCCCCGCCTGTCCCAGCCAGAGGCACCGGCATGTGCAGCTAACCACTCGCTCGCACCGCAGCGCAGCCAGGGGCACCCCGCGCCCGCTGTGCTCAGAGCTGCACCGGCTTTATCTGAGCTGCCGATGTGCTTTTCCTGGAACTGAACCCCCAAAGGATGTTGCATGAAACTTGTAAACCGAAGTAAGGCCTCTTTGTCTTGTGACGCTTGTTTTAATTTTACTGTGGGCTGCCATGAAAATAATTTGTGATTAAAATTGAAAGCTCCCTTGCAGCAGCTGCCAGGGTGGGGGGTGTTGGAGGCGATTCCTCTGGGGTTACTTAACTCCCAGTCCTCGTTTTTTCCGCTTAGATCCACGTGGAAGATCTATTCCCAGATCTAGTCAGGGTAGACCGCCTTGCACTTGGCAAGGGGTGACTACCGGAGCTGTGACCAGCCCTAGGAGTCAAGGAGGAGAAAGCAGCCCTTGTACGATTTACCTTCACACTGCTGCAAGCTACCGAAACCCTTTGTAGGAGAGGAGTAAGCTTGATTTAACGAATTTACCAAAGCTCACGGGTCTGTGGTAAGAAGCCAGCACAACAGGTCTTTGTGAGAGGTGGATTTATGGCACATAAATAAGTTAGTGTGCTAATTGTAGCTGGTGTCAGAGGTAGCAGGCTAACTGCTAAAAAAAAAGGGCTTGCAGGGTGATTTATTTGGGTTATTTTGCACAGACTTGTGTGAAACACGTTAATAGATCCTCTGCCTCCCTTCCCCACAGCCGTAATAGTAAGAACAATGAGCAGCATTAAGTGCAGGCTAGCCCACGTTTCCTCCCAGGAGTGCAGGGCTGCAGCAACCAGAAATCATTACACGGGGAGAGAGAAAATGACTTTTGGCTGCCTCCGAGCCCTCATGTCAGTGTTGTTCTGCAATCTCTGTGCTGAATGGAAACTGTTTCCTTTCCACAAGCTCTAAGCTTACAGACTGGGTTTCCTGCTTTCCTGTTAGTGCCTCCACCTACCCAGACAGCTCTGACACTTCAGACTTACTGATCAGCTATTTTCTACCACAGCTCTTTTAGCGAAGGTTTTACACGTTGTTGTAACAGCTGACTAAGCAGTGAGCCTGCAAGTGAAAGAAACGAATGTAGGGCTTTTTTGTTCGGCTAACTGACAAGGCTCTGCCTCAAAACGGCGAGGCATTTATCTGTGCTAGCAGCCTGCTAGGTGGACGGGCTGGCGCTCAGCGCCGCTCTGGGAGCTGGGAGGCACACTGTGCCAGGGCTCCCAGGTGGAGGAAAATGGCACCAGGGTGGTTCAGATGCCTGAAGAGACTTGCAGCTAAAGGTACTTTGAAGTGTCGAAGAGAGACGTGCAGGGGACGTTTGCATCGTGAAGCAACGATGGGAATAAATGCTGAATGTGTGCCAGCTTTAAAAATAGTATCACATGCAAAAGCAATTAATACTTAGGAGAAATTTTATAGAGACGGACTCTGTGGACCACAACTATGAAAGTAAAAAGTGATTTTCATATCAGAAAGTCTGTCATCTCAGGATGTCCCAGAATGGCACATTCTGGGGCACCGCAGTCGAGCTGGAAACAGCCAGTCAGCTCTGAACTGCCTTTATATATGTATTTATGTCTCCTGTGCTGAGTTCCCTCCGTAGCCACAGTAGTGCAGCCATTCAGAGCACATTTCCACGGTGCTTTCAGTTTTCATGCTCACTTTTGCAAATTGCTTCCAATATATCACAAAAAATGAACCAAGCCTGTCTTCAGTTAGTGATGGATGTACCTTAAAATATTCAAAGTACTCTAAAAGTTCTGATATCTTTGGTCTGATCCTTAGCCAAACTATGTCTAGCCTTGTTTCAGCCTTTGTTTTATTCAGACA